TTTTCCAGGAAAGTAGCATTGTACTCGATCAAGTGTATTTGTCCCAAAACGCGATTATGTACCCACTGCACTGCACACGTACTGCAGCGAAACAATACGAAATCTTTCGAAGCACGAACAATCGGATGCATATGATGAGATATCGGTCATGCTAGCACATAAACAATATTTAAAATATTATAATATGATTAAAATAAGGCAAAAAATTTATTATAGAGCAGAGAACCAACTACATGAATAGTATTGGCCGGAGCAGCTGAGTTTGTTGCAACCAACCAAACCTACAAATGCGTTTCAATCTCACAAGTGAGTCTATGCGGTGCTCTGCTCTTCGTTAGAAAAAAAATAGCTTTTTGTGGTGCTGACTTCAATAAAAGTAAAAGTATATTTCTACTTAAGTTGCAATTGCAAATCTTTATGCTTCTGAGCTAAGTTTTTGGTATAAAAGCATGCGGCACATGACAGTTGAGCAATCAAATACACAAGTTCTTGTGCACAGCATAACACTCCCGGTGAAAAACTAAACAATATAAAAATGTTCAAATTCGTAAGTATTTGCAGTTGCCAGCTCTATACTTAATCCAGGACTATTCATCTAACTATAACAATTTATAGGTGATCGTTGTTTTGGCTCTTGTCGCTAGCGCTACAGCCGCACCAGGATATCTTGGCGGTGGTGCTCTACTTGGTGGTATACATGCCGCTCCTGCTTTGTCAGTTGCACATGCTGCACCGGCAATTTCCTATGCAGCTCCAGCTGTATCCTATGCAGCACCAGTAGCGAAAATTGCAGCTCCAGCGATTTCGTACGCAGCACCAGCTATTGCGCATGCTCCACTCGGCTTAGGCTATAAATCATATGCTGGTCCAGCTTTGGCTCCACTTGGCTTAGGTTACAAGTCATATGCTGCCCCAGCCCTTTCATATGCAGCACCAGCAATCGCTCATGCTCCATTGGGACTTGGTTATGGTTACGGACATGGTGCTGCTTTAGCTCATGGTTGGTAGACGTTGAATGGTGTTTTGTGTGGCAATGCAATTTTAGGTAATTTGTGATGCTTATCGTCGTTTGTTAAACTACCAAATTTCGAATCCGTTGTTAAAAATTCCAATTGTCTTTCTTAATAAATTATGTGACCATTTGGAGTGTTAAATTTTGTAGTTTTTTCTTTTAAATATTGCAGAAGTTAAAAAAACGGACTCATTTGAACTTAATCTAATTTCAAAAAATATTATTTTTCTGGGTTAGTTATTGACACACACATCGTCTTTACAAAAATAGGATAGGGTATGAACTTGCAAAACATTTATAATTTTTCCTACATGATAATAGTTATATCTCAAATATATAGAACGACAAGCGACCTAATAATCGCAATCTTTCACGTAAATTATGACAAAGAAACTATTTTCTTAATATAAACTATTGTTTTCGGTAGAGAGGTTTTTGAACAGGAGTGAATTGCAACAACAAAATTTAATTATTTTTAATTAATTGAATTTTTATGAAACCATACAGCTGTTTCGATTATTGCCAAACAACTATCATAATTTTTTTTTTTTTTGAGTTACTTTTAATATTTAATTATTCGTAAATAATTTTTTGACAGTTCATCCAGTTGAAGTAGTTAACTCTGGTGACTATATTCTACTTCAAAGGAGCAAGGCATGACAAAAAAAT